CCACTGGATCCCCATTGTCCACATATTTTCTGACCCCCTCAGAGAATTCTAGTAGATTGGTGAGGCATGATTTCCCATTACAAAAGCCATGTTGACTCTCCCTCAACAAATTACGTTCATCTACGTGTCTGACAATTTTGTTCTTTACTATAATTTCAACCAGTTTGTGCGGTACTGAAATCAGGTTTACTGACCTGTAATTGCCAGGATCACCTCTGGAGCCCTTTTAGCTTTTAAAAATTGGTGTCAGATTAGCTATCCTCCAGTCGTTTGGTACAGAAGCTGATATAAATGATAGGTTACAAACTATAGTTGGTAGTTCGCAATTTCACATTTGAGTTACTTCAGAACTCTTGGGTGAATACCATCTGGTCCTGGTGACTTATTACTGTTTAGTTTATAAGTTTGTTCCAAAACCTCCTCTAATGACACCTCAATCTGGGACAGTTCCTCAGATTTGTCACGTAAAAAGAATGGCTCAGGTCTGGGAAATTCCCTCACATCCTCAGCTGTGAAGACCGATGCAAAGAATTCATTTAGTTTCTCTGCAATTGCCTTATCATCCTTGAGTGCTCCTTTAGCATCTTGATCGTCCAGTGGCCCCATTGGTTGTTTAGCAGGCTTCCTGCTTCTGATGTACTTAAAAATTTTTTTGCTATTACTTTTTGAGACTTTGGCTAGTTTTTCTTCAAATTCTTTTTTGGCCTTCCTAATTATATTTTTACACTTCATTTGCTAGAGTTTATGCTCCTTCTATTTTCCTCACTAGGATTTAACTTTCATTTTTTAAAGGATGCCTTTTTGTCTCTCACTGCTTATTTTACTTTGTTGTTTAGCCACGGTGGCACTTTTTTGGTTCTCTTACTATGTTTTTTAATTTGGGGTATACATTTAAGTTGAGCCTCTATTATGGTGTCTTTAAAAAGTTTCCATGCAGCTTGCAAGGATTTCACTTTTGGCACCATACCTTTTAATTTCTGTTTCACTAACTTCCTCATTTTTGTGTAGTCCCCCTTTCTGAAATTAAATGCTACCGTGTTGGGCTGCTGTGGTGTTTTCCCCGCCACAGAGATGTTAAATTTAATTATATTATGGTCACTATTAACAAGCGCTTCAGCAATATTCACCTCCTGGACCAGATCTTGTGCTCCACTTAGGACTTAATCAAGAATGGCCTCTCCTCTATTGGGTTCCAGCACTGGCTGCTCCAAGAAGCAGTCATTAAGGTGTTAAGAAACTTTATCTCTGCATCCTGTCCTGATGTGACATGTACCCACTCAATATGGGCATAGTTGAAATCCCCTATTATTATTGAGGTTTTATTTTTATAGCCTCTCTAACCTCCCCTCACTATCACCATCCTGGCCAGGTGGTCATTAATATATCCCTATTGCTATATTGTTATTATTAGAGCATGGAATTACTATCCATAGATATTCTGTGGTACAGTTTGGTTCATTTAAGATTTTTACTTCATTTAATTTTATGCTTTTTTTCACATATACTGCCACTCACCCACCAGGATGACCTATTCTGTCCTTCCAATATATTTTGACTATCCTCATTCCACCATGTTTCTGCAATGCCTATTATATCAATATCCCCATTTAATATGAGGCACTCTACTTCACCCATCTTATTATTTAGACTTATACCATTTGTATATAAGCACTTTAAATACTTGTCACTTTTTAGCTGTTTGCCATTACATGATGTAATTGAATGGGGCTCTTTTTCATTTGACTGTTTCTCATGAGAGCCTACCTGTATTTTATCATCTTCCATCCTCTCCTCCTTACTAGGACAAAGAGAATCTCCATTAATAGATCCTCCCCTAAGAGATGTCTCTGTCTGAAACACGTGCTCCTCCGTACCTCTCAGCTTTCCCCTTCCTCGTAGTTTAAAAACTGCTCTATGACCTTTTTTATTTTAAATGCCAGCAATCTAGATGTCTCAAGAGATCTGCAACCTTCACACCAGGCAGGAAAGTCATCATGTTTGTTACTCCTTCACAAATGTGAACCTTGTGGTCCAGCTATTTTAGGCCCCCAGCATCAGTTTTGATTCTCCAAGTCCCCCCAGTTTTTAGTTACACCTTTTTCACAGAATTCCAACCTCGTGGTTACTCTGGTTTCCAGAACCTCTCCAGGGAAACATTATAGCTGAAGCAAATAACACATAGACTGTCGCCTTCTTCTCCTGCACAGCCTTGTTTCCTGTTTCTGGTCTCTTTTACCTCTATCTACAGAGTCTGATGAGAGATTTCTCCTTTCATAAAGTGGCAGTCCCTTCTGTCATGTGACTCCCTGATCAGCCTAATCAGGTGCAAAGTCCCCCGCCAGGTGATCCATTGCTTAGATACTAGCCAACATGGCAGAACCAGTTTTTTTGGGTTGGCCACCTTCCTTGTCCAAGGGTGCTTCCATATGAACAGAAGATAATTAAGGTTTAACAACCCTCCACTGTTGGCTCTGTGTCTCCACCTCTTGGAATTTCATCACAAGATGGAGGTAAAAAGAGAGCAGAAAAGACAGATTAGCCTTACAATCAAAATGAAGTTTGTAGTTTGATAAAGATATATAGAGAGAATTCATCATTTCCAACAGAATTAATAAGCTACGCAGAGTTACAGTAAATCTTCACACTGGCGTTCCATGAAGTCTAGCATATATTTGTCAAACTCATTGGTAAAGTGTGTGTCGTATCAGTCTCTAAGGTATGGCCTTTATATAGGAAGCTAATATTGTAATCGGTATCTCCTGTTGCTCAAGTGGAAGAAGTTAGCACAGTAGATCAGAAGGTCTTAAATCCTGCTTCTTAAACTGGTGTAAAATATAGCATGCAATCATATATTTAAAGACTGTGTCATAATTCATATGCAGAAGGGAACAGAATTAACATTGCATGGATAAACTTAATACTGGTGTTTCTGAACTTTTGGGTACTTGACTTTGTATTTTAATGTTCTTTTAATGTAGGTTATATATATATCTTGTGTGTGTGTGTGTGTGTCTAATCCTATATGGCGTGCCTCTTATTTTTGTGGGAGTACCATGGAATAATTATAAGTGTTCAGATACTTTTTCCACCTTATATTTAAAATTTTTGTTAATATTTGTTCTTTTGTCTTATTTGTATTGTTTGTATTTTGGTGAAGAAAAGCTGTCCCTTCAAGAAGAAAATGGGACACTCATCACCAAAACTGTGTGTTTCTTGTCTGTGTGATATTTAACACTTTTATTTATTACCTGGAAGAAAACATAAAATTATCACTAATAAAATTTGCAGATAACATTAAAATTGGGGGAGTGGTAATTAATGAAGAGGACAGGTCACTATTTCAGAGCGATCTGGATGATTTGGTAAGCTAAGCTTAAGCTAGAGGGAGGGATAGCTCAGTGGTTTGAGCATTGGCCTGCTAAACCCAGGATTGTGAGTTCAATCCTTGAGGGGGACGCTTAGGGAACTGGGGCAAAATCAGTACTTGGTCCTGCTAGTGAAGGCAGGGGGCTGGACTCAATGACCTTTCAAGGTCCCTTCCAGTTCTAGGAGATGGGATATCTCCATTAAAATTTTAATTTAGATATATGTGTTTTAATATGGCTAAATGTATAAGTATTCATGTAGAAACAAGGAATATAGCAATACTTACAGGATAGGGGACTCTATCCTGGAAAGCAGTGACTCTGAAAAAGATTTGGGGGTCATGGTGGATAATCAGCTGAATATGAACTTCCAGTGTGATGCTTTGGCCAAAAGAGTTAATGTGATCTTGGGATGCATAAATAGGGGAATCTTGAGTGTTCTGGTGTCCACAATTAAGGAAGGATATTAATAAATTGGAGAGGGTTCAGAGAAGGCCCACGGGAATGATTAAAGAATTAGAAAACATGATTTATAGTGATAGATTGAACTCCTTTTGAGTCTATTTAGCTTAACAAAGAGAAGGTTAAGAAGTGACTTGATTACAGTCTGTAAGTCCCGACATAGAGAACAAATATTTAGTAATGGGTTCTTCAATCTATCAGACAAAGATATGGCAAGATCCAAAGGCTGGAAGCTAAAGCTAGACAACTTCAGGCTGGAAATAAGGTGTATGTTTGTAACAGTGAGAGTAAATAATCATTGGAACAACTTGTCAAAGGTGGTGGTGGATTCTCTATCACTGACAATTTTTAAATGAAGATTGGATGTTTTTTCTAAAAGATATGCTCTAGGAATTATTTTGTGAAGTTCTCTAGACTGTGTTTATACAGAAAGTTAGACTAGATGATTATAATGGTCCCTTGTGGCCTAGGGGTCTTTGAATTGTAGAGTGCATCTGCCGATGAATAAGAACAGTGTGTGGGGAAACTACCTGTGTATCTAAGGAGTGGAAGACTCTGCCCTATGCAAACTTCAGAAAAGTCAGAAATTGTTTTAATGCTTGGCTAAAGTTTGGGTTCCCAAATCTTTGTGGACATCACAATAAATGAAGCTTCTTGGAATTCACCATCCTGTAGTTCTCAGTTTTTCAGTTTGAAATAGAAGGAAAAAATAGATGCCAAACATGCACTTGGTGTAAAATTCAAAGGATGAATAGGACCTAGAAATGATAGCTTCGAAAACAGACAGAATCATAAAACTGTCAGTGCAATCCATGGCTGCAGTCAAAAAGGCAAAGAGAATCCAGGTGTTCTTAAGTAAGCATTGAATGCAAATGAGGAAAAAGAAAAAATCTAGCACTTTATACATAGAAGACTTTTTAGACCACACTTTCAAGTGAGACAAATTCTGATCTCATATATGTAAACTGGGTTCAAATAAGAATTAAATAAGTTCATGGAGGATAGGTCCATCAGTGGCTATTAGCCAAGATTGTCAGGAACACAACTCCATACCTCAGGTGTCCTTAAATCTTCAAGTATGCAAGCTGGGACTGGACAACAGGGGATGGATCACTCAAAATTGCCCTTTTCTATTCATTCCCTCTAAAGCAGTGGTTCTTAACCCTTACCTACACCAGGATGGCTGAGTGGTTAAGGTGTTGGACTTAAGCTCCAATGGACGTATGCCCGTGTGGGTTCAAGCCCCACTCCTGGTAGCTATCATTTTTTGGGGGGAGGGATAGCTCAGGGGTTTGAACTTTGGCCTGCTAAATCCAGGGTTGAGTTCAATCCTTGAGGGGGCTATTTGGGGCAAAAATCTGTCTGGGGATTGGTTCTGCTTTGAGCAGGGGGTTGGACTGGATGACTTTCTGAGGTTCCTTCCAACCCTGATATTCTATGATACTGCAGCCTGCACCCCTTTGGTTCTCAAAATATGTTCTCACACCCCTTATCAAAAATCAAAATATGTTCTCTCATCCTTTAAACCTAGATATATATTTTTTTGTTTGTATATTACAGTAATCATTAAAAAACATATAACGTTAATAAATACATAGGTTTGATGAAAAAAAGTAGCTGTACTTACGTGCCTGTGCTTAATTTGTGTTTTCGATGATTTATCTTCTAAAAAAATCTGGCATGTCTCACACCCCCAGAAAGGGCATCTCGCACCCCCCAGGGGGTGCATGCACCCCAGGTTAAGAACCACTGCTCTAAAGCATCTGGCACTGGCTACTGTCAGAGACAGGATACTGGGCTAGATGGATCATTGGTCTCACCCAGTATAGCCCTGTTCTTAAGTTATTATTTACACCCTCTGCAATCCCACTGATATGTAAGCTCGGGCAGAATTTGGCTCCATATATGGTTTATAAGTGCCTTTAAATATAAAGGGATAGAAATTAATTTGTAGCTCATCTTTGAACATTGGACTCTCTCTGCATTTTTACAGTAGCCATAGATTGTGGGACTGTATGTGACTGTACATTTAGCTGTTAAGCTATTGTCCACTAATGGGTCCTGCGCTGTAGACCTATATATCAGGAAAGTTTCAGAAGATGGCAATGTAATGCTGTATGATTGAATATGACCATTTATATCATTGATATTACCACTGCTATACAATTGCAACAAATCTTGTACAAAGTATGTCATGTAATGTATCAATGGAAAAGTTACAATCCATCAAATATGATTATCCTGTTTATATGCACGTATCATTTTTATGAATATTTATCTTTATGAATATTACATGAATATTGACTGTGCACTGGTATCTTATACATGTGTTGTATTCTTGAGTAACACCCACCAGATAGAATTTACATTAGAGCCATGTATGTGTTGATGGCCCTTTAAGAACACTTCACTCTAACAATGGGCCATAGAAGAAACTCATCCCGCCCAGATAGCTCTTCCTGCAGATGCCTCAGTCTCCAAGGGGCCAATGGCCACTCCCTGTGAGTCATCAAAACTATGTAAAGGCATGTGATATGCTCATGTGACCCTGGACTCCATCTTGGGTCTGTAATTTTCAATGCACCTGGGTTGTAGGCTTTGTTTGAGACAGTAAAATTCTATGCAAATGGCAGAGGATAGAAAAGACACGTGAGATGTCTCAATTTTGCCTCTTTCCTGCCTGATTCTCTGAACTGTGGATTTACAACTAAAAGGAGTTGTAAATCCACAAGGGATTTCTATATACTACTCAAAGGTGATATTTAGTCATGCAACAGTGACATTCATTGGTCATATTATTACTATTGGCCTTGTCTTCATTAGAAAATTAAGTCATGTTAAAATATGACCTTGAAGAGTCATGTTAAATAGCACATTGTTAAACTCAATGTTGCAGGGACAAGCCATGTTTAATACCATGTTAGTCAGTCCTGGTTACCCTATGCTACCAGTAATATTTATTGATGATGAGCTGACATAATGTTAAACACAACTGGCTTTGTCTCTACTGACTGCAAAGTTGCACCTAACACAGTGTTAGTGTCACAGGATGATTGGCCTCTTAAGAGGAGATGGGCCTCAGCACTACCTGTGACAAGCTCAGATCATCTTCCCAGGAGGCAAAATGATTTTGGTCAAGTGACTAACTCCTGCCAGACCTATGGATATAAGACAGAGGCATGAAGGAGTGGAAGGGGCTTGAGTGGGAGCCAGTAATGCTGCAGCTGGGCAGGCTGGCAGTGCCAGGCAGGATAGAATTCTGGGAAGCTGCAGCTGACCTGAAGAAGCAACTGCCGGTGGGTGCTGCAGGGAGCAGAAAGGTCTATTTGATTGTAATCCCAGCTCTGGGAAGGTGGGCTGGGGGCTCCTCATTCAAGGAAAGAGCAGAGTGAGGTGCTCGAGTGACAGCCAGAAGGGAGGGCAGGCCTTACACCTTCTCCAGCTGCTCACAGAGCAGGAAGAGACAACCCTTTGAGGAGGAGAGGCTGGGGTCTGGGTGGAAGAGATTTAATTTTGTGTTTATTTGGACTTAAATAAAGTAGAACCCCAGCAGTGGAATTTTGTCTTATGCCTTTTGGACTAAAAGGGGCTTTGAGCAGAAGGGGAAACTGAGGAAGGGTGCTGCAGAGCCACACCTGGGCACAAGGGGATGCTTGGGTAGTGGCAACCTTGCTATGGTTATTTAACAGGCCTCATCATTGTTGTCTTTAAGTATCCTATTTTCTAGTGAGGATAGATTGCCTAGTCTGTAGCAAATTATATTTGTTCAATGCATCTGGTCACTGTAATAATCCAAGAACCTTTTGAAAAGCTTAGGGGCAGGGTAGGGAATTCTACCCTGTGTTCATTGTAGAAGTTTTTTGCTTTGGTGAAGTTATATTCACTTTTCATAATCAATTGTTTAATTGCAGTTTACTGAAAAGAATACGAGGTTCTGGCACTTAGCAGAATTATCCTTCTTTTTCAGGATCTTCTTGAAAACCTTCCTTTCCAAGTTATGACAGAATATACTTAGATTTTTCTTTTTTAAATATTTGCTTTTAGCTAATTTGGATAGTGATTTTATTTGGGTAATGACTTGTTAAAGTGTTGTTTTTCAAACAAGTTTTATATTTTGCTCCAGATTTACTATTTCAAAGTGTTTTTAAAATTATTTTCACTGAACTGAAAATCCTAGTCATCTGTTCTTGTAAAAACATCCTCATGTATAAGTATTTATTACTTATTAGTTATTAATTGTCAGTTACTATTATTTACATATTGCTATGGTAACCTAAGGCTCCCATTAGGAATTGGGGCCCACATTGCTCTAGGCTCTAGTAGTCCTTTCCCCAAATGGTTGGTAATGTAGGCAATGAGAATATAAGAGGTGAATGAAACAAACAATCAAAGGAGAAAGGGAAGATCTGTTAATACACTATCGTGCAGCAGACTGCAGTTTTTCTTTATAGGTAACCTGTGGGCAATTGATCAAAGTAGCACAGCAATATAATTGGAAGACTGTGATTGGTGCCTTCCTAATGTTAATCATTTCTATCTTTAAGTGACTTTGAGGAATCAAGATATCACCTGTACAATACAGAACATTCTTAATTTAGTGTAAAATGTATTGTCTAGCCATAAGGTGCCAATTTTTCCAGATTTTTACAAATAGGTCAATTAGTCCCTTTGTTATAACTAATTGTAGATGAGTCTTCTTCAGAAGAGGGTACTTATTTGTTTTACTCTGGTAAGAGAGCACAAAGAACTCCCCTATCACATAGGTGCAGTTCTAAGGTATTTTGCTAAAGCTTTTTTGTGTTCCATTAAGATAACATTTTCATTAGGAGTATAAAAGGTAGTGCCCCTTATAAGGAGTTTCATTTAATAGCTCTTTGACTCAAACCGTATTGTAAAGCTCCTTAAAGAGATCTCCCACAAAACCAATGTGATTCCTATCACTGTGCATGGACAAGTCCAATCTCATCTTTTCTTTCTTTATTTAAAAATCAATTTGCAGCTTTGATCATTTTCCAACGGATCTAAAAACTAGTAGGCTGCCAGTGTAGATTGAATTGGAAGATCCAGAAATAACACTCTGTCTTTCTGGACTGAAAAGCCAGCTGGATTTGGTTTGAAGGCATTCTGTGAATTGGTGCAACAGAGTAAAATACTCCAGGGATGTGAAGTGGCATGAAGCCTGATGTGTGGGCTGCATCTGGGAAGTCCACAGTGATTGATTGACACCTTGGTGCTAAACACTTGGTTCTTTGTATTATGTTTATCCAACTGCATGAGATATTCTAGCACACATGACGTTTTTCAAGGAATAAGTTATGATCAGTCCAAGCTTATGCTCTGATTTCAGTAACAGGTCCTTTGGGAGTTGAATATTTGTTCTAACTTGACTTCGCCTCTCCCTCGCCAAACTACTTAGCTCAGAAGGTGCATGCCCACTAGTTTCTAAATGTAAAGTGTGTTCATTGTCCCACTGTAATCTAAAAGGTCATGGCACTGAACTATTAAAATGTAATTGATTCATGTAGGAACATTACATATGTTTCAATTTTTAAAATGATTTGATATTAAAAATATCAGGGGAAAAATATAAGAGATAGTTAAGCCTGAGGCAGTAGATGACAACACATAACAAATATTAAAAAAAAACAAAAAAAAACCCACTTTCCAATATATATACAGCTGGGAAAAAAATCTACCTGTCTTACTGGACTGTTTGTTGTAGGGTGGCTGCTTGCACAATCCAATGTACTTTGACTTATTAAATTAAATTAAAGTCTTTATTGAACACACTCTTTATAATGATCCCCTTTCTGTTATAGCAACATCGGTATTCAGTGTGAGCGAAGGGGGTAGGCCCATGTTTCTCAGAACTCTAACTGGTATTACTGGTAACTTGTATTGAATATTGCTACCAATGTGTACACATATGTTTTGGTGGCTTTGTTTTAAAAGGGAATTAGCTTCATCTATATTTACTGACCTGGTTGTGTTCACTTTCCATGACATCTGATAAACCAAATTTTACTGGCACAAATTGTCATAGACTATGAATTTCAAAGTAGTGTGCATCAATATTTGGGGAACCCAAATTCTATATTGACAGGCATGAGTATTCATGCCAGAAATTTGTGATCAGTCAGTAAAGTTAATATATCTGCAAAACCAATAATTGAAGAACCAACATCTTTGAGGAAAACAAGATTTACTCTGAAAGAAGAAACAGCCAAATTCCTGAATGAAGTACTAGTTACAAATA